TGCACATGTGCAATCCAGGAAGGGACTGTGGAGGATGTGTAGGCCTAGCCCCTCATTACAGGAGAGGTTATGGTCACACAGTTAGGTCCGGGATCCAGGTCTTCTCATTCCTCAGAGAGCAGCCTCCATGAGATTTATGTTGACCAGGCTCGACCCGAGTCTTGGGATGGAAGAGAGACCGACTCAAGCCTTGAAGTAAGTAGTGTCATTAAAAGTGATAAGGGAAGATTATTAGGGAAATGCTTTACCCCATGACAGCTAGTCAGACCTGTGCATGAGCACAGAGGTTTCTCTCTCAGGATCAGCAGAGCTGGACTGTGGGGTGCGGGGTGGGGGCTGCTTCTTTTCTGCGCGTCCGTCTCAAAGTGTAGTCTGGTTTCCCTTGGGAACTCGTCATGGCACGGTGAGGTAAGCATGTGCTTGTCTCATTCCTTCTACTGTTATTTATCTGTACCTTCACCCTATATCTTACCTTTATAATGAGTGCCATAAATTTACTTCTTACCGGTGAAGTAGATCAACACTTTTATTTGGATTTGAATTTTTTTAAAAAAGAAAGAAATCTTTCCCACTTACTCTAAGTGAAAAAAGGAGGGCCAAGAGCTTGCAGACCACCAAGCCAATGCTTTTTAATAGTCGTTTGTCCTAAAATTACCTTCTCTGCTTCAAGGGGAAGGCTTTTTGTTCTTGTCATGGGTAATTAATTCTATTTTTGCTTTGATGATATTCTGGAAGATATAGATGTGAATTATATATACCAAGTTCATTCTCTGTATTCCTTATGCCAAGATTTTCTCTTGGCTTCTTTATAACATTCGTTGATTTTTTTTACTGTATAGATTAAATAATTCTCTGAGGTAATGTGGCTAGAATTACATGTAATATTCTAGGCAAAGTCATATTATAATCTGGTATGAGGATAATATTTTCTGATTTGTTAACAAATAGCCTTTTTATTTAAGACCAACATTCTATGGCCATTTTTGGCCTCAGCCAAAACAGTCCTTTGAACTGATATCATATAGCATAGTTTTATAAGGTATTTTCTTTTATTTTCTAACCAGGCTCTTACTGGAAGCTTACACCCATTTTCCTCTAAGTACAGTTTATTATAGTACTATAATGTTTTGTTTGCTGATATTGGATGCCAGCTTCCATTTTTCTTCCCACTGTGTAAGAACTTTAAGTTATGATTAGGGAGTATTTGGTATGTTCCAGGGCAGGGGTCCTCAAACTTTTTAAACAGGGGGCCAGTTCACTGTCCCTCAGACCGTTGGAGGGCCGGACTATAGTTTAAAAAAAAACTGTGAACAAATTCCTATGCACACTGCACATATCTTATTTTGAAGTAAAAAAACAAAACGGGAACAAATACAATATTTGTATTTGCATGTGGCCCGCGGGGCCGTAGTTTGAGGACCCCTGTTCCAGGGACTGTGGTAGGTATCCTTACCTACCTTATCAATCATCATAACAATCGAGTTAGGTATTATTACCTTCACTTTATAGATGAAGAATCTGAAACTTATAGAGGTTAACTAATTTGCCCAAAGTTACACAGCTCAAAGTCTGGATTCAACTTAAGCATGTACAACTCTTAAGCCTGTGTTTTAACAAATATGCTTGCAAAAATGCATGGGATTGCCCTTCAGTATAACATAGTATTTCACTTTGTATTATTCATAAAAACGTAATTTTATCTATAAGCCCAGAAATTTATTAATCCATGTCCTTCAGAAAGTTTATTAAAATAAAACCAACCCTGGCACAAACACTTGGGCACTCCTTTATTTTCATTTTCTTTATAGAAAACTATCTGCTTAATCTTTTCATACTGATTGATTATTAAGCTAGTTTCTCATTGCCACCACAGTTGCATTAGTCAGCTGTTGCTGCATAGCAAGCAACCACAAACTCTCAGAGTATACACTAACAAGTATTTATTTCTTAGTCATGTGTCTGCAAGTCAGTTGGGTTTTGGCTGTTTAAGGCTGGCCTTGCCTTTTGGCTATGGGTTGGTTTTGAACTTTTTTCCGAATTAGAGTTGCCAGATTTAGCAAAAAAAAAATACAGGTAACTCAGTTAAATTCTGTTTTTAAATAACAAATACGTTTTTAGTAATAGACATGTAAGTATTCATTGTTTATCTGAAATTCCACTTCTGTGAGCTGTGTCCTGTATTTTCACTGACAACCCTACCTCTGACAGCACCAGCACCAGGGATCAATCCCAGTCATGCCAATATATTTCAGGTCTTTGCTTGGGTCATGTCCTCTAACATCCCATTGGCCAAAGCAAGTGACTTGGTGAAGTTCAAACCAAGGGGTAGAGGGTGGGAGAGGCTACTACTCCTTCCAGGGGGTGTGAGGGGAAAAGAGTAAATATTAATGAAGAATGATATAATCTACCAGAGCAGTGAATTAGTTAATTTAATAATCTTTGTTGTGGAGGTTGGATACAGCCTCCTAGAAAATCAAGTTAGATTATGTTTACTAGGTCTCCATTTACGAGGTTACTTTCATTCATTGTCTTCTTCTTTCTGGTCAGCCAAGAAATGTCATTGATTAAACAAAGACTGCCTGATTTCTCTATAAGAAATTCATGTTGTCAGTCTCCTGTTGGTTTATATTTGATTAGATGTCCAAAAGAGAAACACCAATTTTATGAAAATGTCTTTTGAGTTAATCAAATATTTAATTAGAAATTATATTTCATTGCCTAACGTAAATACCACTTATTCCAATGACTAGCAGGTGAAATTTCCTTTTGGGAAAAATTAATGAAGGACTTCAGTAACACAGATACTAATCAAGTATGAAATCCCCTTCTGAAAACCTATATATGGATATTCTGGATATAAGTTTTAAAGTAATAAATTTCTGAGCTTAAAGGAAAGAAAATAAAAATCCCCAGGTGCCAGAATGAAGAAGGAACTTAAGATCAGACTATTCCATCTGGGATCTGGTGCTGCAGTTTTCTTAGGATATGAACCAATGACTCCGGGCCAGGGTTTTAACTTCCTCCCTGGGCCAAAAGCCTTTTACTTGGGGACCATGAAAACCTGAGACTCTGGAGGGATCTCTCATCTGACATAGGAGAACTGGAAAATCTCAATAAGAGAAGCCCAGTTCATCTTGTTCTTTGGTGAATGTCAATTGAAGAAATAACAATTCTATATTCAGAATTGAAAGCTTACAATTTAAGTGAGTTTGGATTCCAGTTTTAGACTTCTCTGTGGTGTGGGAATCCCAAGCTGAGGAAATTATTTGTCTCATGCCAGAGAAACCCCTGGGACTCCCAGCAGTAGCAAAGTCAAAACCATCATGAAGATGGAGGTCCATTTCCCTGCGTGATACGTCATTTTTTTTTATCATGAGTTAATATTCTTCAGAAATTGTTTGTATTATAAGAATTTCATTTTCCTTGGATGTGGAAGTGTCCTTATGCTTTTATTTTTTATAAATTAACCAATTATCAGTCTTATGTCTGAATAGTGCGATTTCTGCTCTTCTTAGTTTGTTTGGTGTTATGGTGACAAATCTGACTTTTCTCTACTTCTTCATCCATGTGATTGCCTACCCTCTTCCCCCTGAACCTCTGTGGTTCATTTGGATGACAGTGAAATAGTGGCTCCCCAAGCCTTTGCATGGCATTCCTTGATCAGATCACTTGGTTGGGGGAGGAGATGGAGGACACTGGACAGTAATTATTCCTTTAACCCAAAGTAAAGATCATCTTTGGCAGGTGACCCAATTGTAGTATGTCTTCCTAAATTAAAGAGCTGTTCTGAATTCTCTGTCTTTTGAGATTCACAACTCTACCTCTGGGTCTCTTTTAGCTTCTACTGCAAAATTTCAATAGTCTTAATTTGTTTATAAAAAAGAAGCAAAAAAGATGGTACTATCTGCCTCTTGACATTTTTACTTTTTCTTTTTTTTTTTTTTTTTACCATATAATATCTCGGGTGTGTAGGGGCTATACCGTCTCTGTCATTACAATGAGTTGATAAGAAATTCTCCCAACCCAGGGGTAGCTGATGTCAGCTGGGGTTGTTTTGCAGTCTGGAAGTTCTCATTTTCCCTACTTCTTTGTTTTACATATAAAGAGCTGTCATTACCTGTAGCCCCATCTCTGCCAATAATTGTAGCTAAAATTTGCTGATTGTAATGCATACACACAAGGATCCAACATTCCTGCATAAACGCTTTTACTTAGCATTCAGATGAATGTAAGATAGGGAGAAAGGGATCCTCAGGACTGACATTGGCTTGGCGGAACTTCCCCACACGGGCCAGCAGTGTCTTGTAGCTCTTTCTGTCAGGAGTTAGATTCTACTTCTCTACTCTTTGTGTCTGGTTTGGCCTTGTGTAATCCATCATTACACAACATGGTGGATGAGTTGTGTAAGTTCTGGAATTTAAGCCTCAAGAACCCTTGAAACTAAAAAAGTGATTTCAACATGGGTTGTTCTTTCCGTATCTGCCTAGTTACTGCGTAAAATGATCATAAAAACAATAGGGAACAATGCCAATGACTTCTTATGTGCCAAAAAGTTTATTAGAAAGCAGAGAAACAACAAAACATGAGAAATTCACTCTAGGAGAATATACAGGGTATAAATGGACCCCAGGTCTGAGAGTGTCAAATCAGTGTCACTCATGGGTTGCAGATGAGGCCCGCCTTGCTGGAAGGATAATCTGGAGCCCCCAAAGGAAGATAAGAACGAGAAATTTGGAGGATTGGGATAATTTCCTATCTGGTGGATTACAAATTAATACAGAGTTGGTCGAAATCAAAAGGAAATGATAGCAAGGGAGAGAGTTTTAAATGAACCAGAATGTGCTCACAAAGGCATTGGGGCGGTGGTGAGCTCATTGGATATGAAACCCAGCCCAGTGGGTGACATCAGCCAGATCCCATGTGTCCTAAGGGCCATCACAAGAAGCCTATACACCTGGTGGACAGACGTACATGGAGATGACGGTTACAGAGAAGGGGGCTCAGCAGTCAGGGATGGCACAGCACATGGGGCGGGGGCAGGTGGAGATGACACAGGTGGGGCGATAGCAATTGGTGGGGCAGGAGACCTGGCCACAGACTGGGCGGAGGCAGCAGCAGGGGCAGCAGGAGGGCCGGCAGCAGCTGGAGCCACAGCAGCTGGAGCCACAGCAAGAGGGGCGGCAGCAGCTGGAGATGCAACAGGAGGGGCGACAGCAGCTGGAGCCACAGCAGCTAGAACCACAGCAAGAGGGGCGGCAGCAGCTGGAGCCACAGCAGCTAGAACCACAGCAGGAGGGGCGGCAGCAGCTAGAGCCACAGCAGCTAGAACCACAGCAAGAGGGGCGGCAGCAGCTGGAGCCACAGCAGCTAGAACCACAGCAGGAGGGGCGGCAGCAGCTGGAGATGCAACAGGAAGGACGACAGCAGCTGGAGCCACAGCAGCTGGAGCCACAGCAGGAGGGGCGGCAGCAGCTAGAAATGCAGCAGCTGGGGCGGCAGCAGCAGGAACCACAGCAGCTGGGGCGGCAGCAGGTGGTCTGGCAGCAGCCTTGGCCACAGCCCTGGTCAGAGCAGACGGAGCCACAACAGGACATGGTGTTGGAGGATGGAGGTTCTGGGTGAGTTTCCAGGAAAGTGAGGTTCGTGTGTTTGGGGGTCTCCTTGGCCCACACCTCCTTTTATACCCTGCTGAAGAGCTGCTCTCACTATGTCATTATTTCCTTATTTTTATTTACCCCACTAGAAAGCTTAATTATTTAATTTCATAATTGTGTGTTTCTGGTGAAGTACTCAAAAAATGGAAGAAATAGCACATTTCCCTTTTCTGGTAAGTTTCTGCATTCCAATTAAAAGACTTGTCACATTTTTTTCTTAATGGGTGTCACCTTTGTTTCTGACCAATGCAGTGACTTTTACAAGGCACTTGTCACATGACTCTGACATTTTGTTTTTGAATGGGACATTTCCTCCTATCTGTACTGCTCCATGAAAATCATGGAGAATGGTTCTTACAATGCTAATCTATCTTTTGTCGGCAAAGATGAGGGGAACGCGTGCTGGTCAGGGGAATAAGAACCATCTATAAGGAGGATAACTGATCCTGTGTGGGCATCTTGAAGGGTCAGGGAAATAGCTGGACCCTAAGGAAGTTTCAAATTCTGTGTCTGACTTTATTTCACTGTTTCAAGCTGAGGTACTTAGCATTGGGTCTGTTGTATGTTTTTCACGATAGGCATTGACGGTGGGAAATTTTTTATTTATCTTTTGATTGTTAAACCTTCAAAATGGGTATTTTATTACAGAAGCATTTGTTGTATAAACAATATTTGCAATTATCAGGCCTTCAGTACCATGTTTCTATGACAAAACCGAGGCTGTCTTACTCTGGGCACATCATGAGAAGGCAGGCTTCTTTGGAAAAGACGGTAATGCTGGGGAAATAGAAGGCATCAGGGAAAGAGGAAGAAAATATGAGATGGATTGACTCCATAAAAGAAACCGTAGGAATGAGTCCATAGGAGCTGAGCAGGCCTATTGAGGACAGGACACTGTGGACGTCACTCATTCATAGGGTCGCCAGGGTCAGAGCTGACTCAACAGCATGGAACACACACACATCCAAGACATGCTGTTGGGTACGATGGGGGCATGATGAAAACCCCTCATAATCTTTCCTGTATAAGAATAAGACATGGATGGGGAACAGAGTTTGGCATCAATTAAAATAATGGGACTTATTTTAATTAAGTAATTAAAATAAAAATACAGTATCTGTGTAAGTAAAGGTGGAGGGAATATTAACATCTCTCATTTGTGAAGTATTCACTCTGTACTAGGCATAAAGCAGCAGTCGGCAACCGGTGGTCCGCGGGCCACTGGTGGTCTGTCAGGTCCAAAAGGTTGGCGACCGCTGATATAAAGTACTGTGTAGTCATGTTACTCTCTTAGTGGAATAGGCAAAAGAAACACAGAGAAAGTACGAGAAAAAAAAACTTGTGTAAGCCCAGCCGGCGTGGCTCAGTGGTTGAGCGTCAACCTATGAACCAAGAGGTCACAGTTCCCGGTCAGAGTATATGCCTGGGTTTCGGACTCAGTCCCCATAGGGGAGCATGCAGGAGGCAGCTGGTCAATGATTCTCTCTCATCACTGATGTTTCTATCTCTCTCTCCCTCTCCCTCCCTCTCTGAATTCAATTAAAAAAACAAAACACAAAACTCTGTAAGATTAAACAGAAAGTAAGCTTGTCTTAATCTCAGGGCAGCTGAGGAAGGTGCCAAGAGTAACACTTCCAAGCCTTTGCCGAAGCTGTCTCATCCTCCCGGAATGTTTCTTCTTTCTTGTCAGCTCTGCGGACTCCCATTCATCTGTCAGAAAGCCAGCTGACAGTGCCTCCTCCTCAATGATATCCTTTCTGAAAAACTACCCCATGCACATGTGGTTGTTCCCTGCATTGTGCCCCTAATTTAGCGCTCTATCAGTTTTTACTTCCGTCTCTCCCCCAGTTGCAATGCGGACGCCCTGATGATATGAGTGATAACATTTACTTTGTCCCATCATGTTCCAAACACGGCTGGGGCAGAGGACACTAGTGACCAATGTCTGTTGAGTAAACGAAGGCTTTTGATGGCATAGGAGCATGTAATGGTCCTCTTAAAATATGTAATTTTTGACTGATGGAGAAAAAAGGGAGAAATATTCCAAAGGGATCATAGTTACACTCAAGGAAAGTCACATTTATTTATTTATTATGTATTTTTTAGCTGCATTTTATTGGTGAATAAAGAATTCTGAAAGATGGTGTTTTAAAAGATCATGTTTTATATTCAGTCTTTGTAAAAGATTTGTTTTTAATCTTTAATACATTCAATCTTTGTAAAACTTTCTTATTATAGTCATGGGGGCACCATGACTTCAATTGCATTTTCTCCCCTAAAGACCAGAAAATGATTAGTTGATTTGCCTAAGACTAAAAAGGTCTCTAGAGAAAACTGATGACCAATGACATTTGACCTCTGTTGGAGGTTGACTAGTCTCTGCTGTCTGTCCAACAGGTACAGGCAAACTACAATTACCCAGGACCCACATATAAAACCTTTAAAAAAAGAGACTAAAATCACATTTAATTTTCAGTGCCCAGAACAAAGAGGTTTATTTCGGTATAAGAAAATCTTTGCAAAGGAGTACAAGAAAAAGGGTTCACTGGACTTCCATGTCAGAGGACTTAGAATCTGTGGCCCCACAAGTGATGGAGACAGTCTTCAAATTCCTTAAGCACGAAGAATGGATGTCTTGGAGATAAAGGGAGAGTTGTTGGGGGAACCTAATTTATTAGAAGGTTCTGAAGGAAGGAAGGAAGTTTGGATGGAAGTTAGGATGTAAACAGAGAATCAGTAGGGCTGGGGTTTGCTACAGGATCCAAGAGATCAGTTACACATTTTTTGAAAAGCAGAGTCTGCATCTCTGGGGAGGGAGGCAAGGAGAAAGTGGTGTGTTCAAAGCAGAGATTCAGCAGTCAGGGATGGCACAGCACATGGGGCGGGGGCAGGTGGAGATGACACAGGTGGGGCGATAGCAATTGGTGCAGCAGGAGACCTGGCCACAGACTGGGCGGAGGCAGCAGCAGGGGCAGCAGGAGGGCCGGCAGCAGCTGGAGCCACAGCAGCTGGAGCCACAGCAGCTGGAGCCACAGCAAGAGGGGCGGCAGCAGCTGGAGATGCAGCAGGAGGGGCGGCAGCAGCTGGAACCACAGCAGCTAGAACCACAGCAAGAGGGGCGGCAGCAGCTGGAGATGCAACAGGAAGGACGACAGCAGCTGGAGCCACAGCAGCTAGAGCCACAGCAAGAGGGGCGGCAGCAGCTGGAGATGCAACAGGAAGGACGACAGCAGCTGGAGCCACAGCAGCTAGAGCCACAGCAAGAGGGGCGGCAGCAGCTAGAAATGCAGCAGCTGGGGCGGCAGCAGCTGGTCTGGCAGCAGCCTTGGCCACAGCCCTGGTCAGAGCAGACGGAGCCACAACAGGACATGGTGTTGGAGGGTGGAGGTTCTGGGTGAGTTTCCAGGAGAATGAGGTTCTTGAGTGAGATCTCTCCTTGCCCTCTGTTGCTTTTATACCCTGCTGAGGGCTGCGGTGACCATGTGCAGGCCCCTTCTTGTTCTTGTTTATTCTCGTTGAAAATCAGTTAGTTTTAGAAAATTAGATAATTGTGTTTATCTGGTAAATGTTCCTATTTATAGGAACGGCACCATTTCCTTTTCCTGTAGTATAATGAGCTGTCCAGTTTGGTTAATGCAGGTGAATCAGCGCCCATATTTCTCTGTCCCATGTGTTTTCTCAAGTAGACCCATTCATTACATGACACCACTTCATTGGATTTTGCAAGAGTTAATTTTTCATTTCCCTATTTGACTCCAGAATAATATGTTGAGAATGGGTTTATGGTGCTAAATCTCTGCTGTCAAAGAGTAAGTCATATCAGGTACTGGTAGTAAAGTAGGTGGAAGACCCATCTTGGAAAGGGGGAGGGGCAGTTACTTGTCTGCAATTAAGAATACTGTGATTCCTGTGCATTTCCTGGATTGTCAGTGAGGTATGAAGGATCGAAGCAAAGTTCCTATCTGTTTTTTCTTATTGAATCTATTTGATTTAAAACAGTTTGAAAATATGGCAGACCACCTCTCACCTGTTAGATTGTCAAAAATTCAAAATTTGACAACATTCTCTGATAGTGAGACTATGTAAAAACAGGCACGCTTCCACTTTTCTCAGGAAGATTTGACAATGGCCAGCAGCTCCAGGCCATATCCATCTTCAATCCCAGGACCTGGTGCCTCATTGGAATTATGAGGCCCAGTTCAGTTGAGCGACATCAGCCCCACTCCATGTGCCCTAACGGTCCACACAAAAGGAGGGTCTGCATCTGTGAGGACAGAGGTAAATGGAGACGGTGGTTACAGAGCAGGGGGCTCAACAGCCAGAGGAGGCACAGCTCAGGGGGTGGGGCAGGTGGAGATGACACAGGTGGGGCAATAGCAAGGAGACCTGGCCACAGACTGAGTGGAGGCAGCAGCAGGGGCAACAGCAGGGGGGCAGCAGCTTGAGCCACAGCATGAGGAGCAGCAGCAGGTGAACACACAGCAGCTGGGGTGGCAGCAGGTGGTCCTGCAGCAGGTGGTCTGGCAGCAGCCTTGGCCACAGCCCTGGTCAGAGCAGCCAGAGCCACACAGGAGCTGACCATGGTATCAGAGGAGGAGGTTTTGTTATTTGTAGGAGAGTGAACTGAGCAAATTTGAAGTCCCTCTGCTGTATGTCCTCTTTCATACTATGCCGAGGTGCTGTGTCCAGGTCCTGGACCATTTTCTAGTTTATTTTTCTAAATAAATATTAGTCTAAAATTAGAGCATCATGTTTTTCTGGTTAAAGATTTTTAAGATGAAGAAAAATACGATTTCTTTTTTCTGATGTGTTAAGATTTTCCAATCTGGTCTTTCTCAGCATCGTCTTTCCTACTTTCTTGTTGGTCAAGAAGGGCCATCACATGATTCAGTCACCTGTGATCTGTATATCATTCCATGATGCTGTTTGGATCAATTATTCTCATTATGCCGAGATCTCTTTGATGTTAAAAGAGAGGCAGAATTACAGTAGGGAATAGAAAGAAAAAGGCTCACCTTTGTGAGTTACCTGTGTGCAATGAGGAAGACAGAACCTATCTGTGAGACATAGATGCTCATTAGATAGTGGACTCTCTGGCTGCCCCAAAATATGTACCAAGTACTACTTCCTGCATTCAATTGGAAACCGTTGCCAATGACTCATGGTTTTTAAATATTAAAAGATACTCTCACTCAATATGGAGCAGTGTAAGCACCAAAATGAATAATGGCAGTAATGGATTTTAACTCGTTAAATAAAATAAAATCTATGACTCCATAGTGAGACTAATTAAATAAAAAATATTTTTAAAAGGAAGATGAGACAACTATCTATGATAGTAGAATATCAACTAATAAATGTAGAAGAATAAGAACAGAGTTACCAAATCATCATTTACAACCCTCATAATAAAGCTTGATTCCAGTAAATATTATCAATGGATGCTATCACTGTTGGGTAAAAGTTTGACAGGTAATAGGCTATTTTCACACTTTCAAAATAGTTCTCCATCGATTATTTATTACTTTCAAAGGAAGACATACTAGCTGTACTGTGGAGAAACTTGAGAGCATAACCTTCACCACGGGATCAACGTTAACATTGTTAATATGGCACAAACTGACTGTCATTTAGATGTTAGACATATGTTAGGTAATAGTAAGGTATCAACATTTAATTTGCTAACTGTACTGTGGTTATGCAAGAAAATGTTCTTAGTCTTAGGATATAAATCTATCTGTATCTAAGCAGATCATTATCTGTCTATCTACTTACCTGCCTACTCATCTCTCTCTATATGAAACAAAATGTGTCAAAGGGTTGAATCAGGGTAAAGGCTAATGGTATCAAAGAGTTATTTGGCACCGCTCTGTATATTTGAAAAAATTCAAAAATAAAAAGTTAAAAAGTATCAAAGGGGATTGGGATTGAAAATCATTTTTTCTGCAGTATTAGTGTATTAAAAATAAGTACTCTGTGTCTTTGGGGGGGAAATACGAAAGTATTTGATACAGTTTACTTTTTAGGAGCCTCTACTCCAAGATCCCTTTCTTATATAGGGTGTTCCAAAATTCACGCAAGAAGTAATTTTGATAGAAAACACAGGTTTATAATTAAAAATTGTACATTTTTTATTGATTCATAAAGTATACAGTTTAGGGTTATGTATAAAATAGCACATCGGGTAAATGGCCTCCACAGCTTTGCTGGCACATACACAAAGCCGTGGTCTTCATTGGTCTTCATTGTCCCTGCTCCTGGGCCATAATTGGTACTTGGTAATGCTTATCAAATTGAAGGGATTGAAATCAAAGGGCAACAGATATTAGAATCTGATTCAATAAACCAAGTAAAATTAGGCTTTTATTTTTTGTTGTTGTTGTTAATGCTCACGCAAAATTCAAATCTTGCGTGTATTTTGGGACACACTGTATTTCTAAACAGTGCAGTAAACTTTCTTCTTCTTGGGTCCCTGATCATATAGGACTTCTGGCAGCGTGGCTGAATAAGCTGCTATGGACAGGTCTACTTTCTGGTACAAGCGAATAGAAATGCTTTAAAAATATTTTTAAAATATTTCAGTTACATAGCTGAACTTAAAGAGAAGAAAGGTTCTCACTTTCCAGTTACAAAAAGGGAACTCAAACTGCAAACAGTAGCTGATGTCCTGTGGCCTTTGGAGGATTAGTATCTAGTAACAGGCTCTCAGAATTGGGGGCTGGTAGTCAAAACCCAGGATGATGCCAGAAATGCTACCTCAGGCTGTCACAAGGCCAGATTCAGAATAAAGTTTGCATTCTTCCCTTGTAAGTAAGATGGAGACAAGAAAAACTTAGTCCGCCCACAAGGGATTATAAGTGGTAATCAAGGCTCCCATGAACATCTCAACCACAGAAACGTCACCAAGCTTTCTGTTCTACACTATATGCATAGTGAGGAACCTCAAGGAGAAGAACTGACTATTGCAAAATAGCGAGTGTCCTTGGACTCATCAGAAACACAAGTAAAAATCACAGCACACAGAAATTACCCCCATAAAAGTACAACTTGAAAAAGCATTAACCACAGAACAGATAACCCGCTAAGAAATCACACAGAGACTGTATGTAATGTCCATAGGGGAGATGTTATGAAATACACAGAAAATAACCCACCATAAGTAGCACAGTAGATGCAGGAAAAGGAAGTATAACCTCCAAGAATTTAGATAATTGAAGATCTGAAGGAGACTGTACAAACATTAGGGTTCAAAGAGGGTCTTGAATCTGTGGCTTGAAGTGTTTCAACGGTTTTGTCAAATTGCCCATCACTGTCTCTTCATTCAGAGCTTCTGCCCCATTCTCTCTTCCTGGGACCCTGGCTTACACATAGCTCAGACCTTTCCCTTGTACTCCACTGTCTCATGTTCTTGTCTGTACCTTTTACCTTTTTTCTCTCTGTACTTCAGTGTGGATATTTTCTGCTTCCAGTTTGCTCTTTCTCTCTTCTATTCTGTCTGACCTGCTCAATCTAATCTATTCCGTCTAATCATTTATTGAATTCTGAATTTCAGTTTTTGAGTTTTTTAGCTCTAGGATTTCCACTGGACTTTCGTTTATCTTATTTATTTATTTTTACAGATTCCAATTCTCTGATGAAATTTATTATTTTTATCTATTATTTCAAACATATCAATCATAGTTACCCTAAATGTAGTTTTTAACACCTATATAAGTATCACCTTTGAATCTATTTCTATTATCTTTTCTTTGCCTTTTGCCCTGTTTTTAGTCATTTGGTCCTTTATGTTCTGGCAAATCTGGTAATTTTTCAAATTGAATGCCAGACATTGAACATGAAATACCTCAGAGGCGTAAGCTGATTTATCTTTCACCGGAAATGATTTCATTGACTTAGACCTTGGGCCCTCAATCCTGCTACATAGGTCAGTTTCCAATGCTTTAGAACAATTGTTTCTCAATTTTCTCCAATTCTCATAGTTAGTTTCATTGAGCGATTTGTGTGATACTAGCTGCTTTGTCATAGCTGGACGTGGAATCCTGTCCTTTAACTTTTCTAGTGGCTGCTGTCTTTTGAACCCTGCATGCTTCTAGTTGTCTTCTCACTTCTCTGGCTAGTCCTTTCTGATTTTTTGTGGTTGCTGTCGCTCCGTTTTCAATTTACAAATGTTGGTGTTTCTTGCAGCTCAGGTCATATTCAGCTTCTCTTCACTAAACTTTCTGTGACCGAGGGCACCCCCTACAGGCCCATGGCATTAGAAACCACGTTAGACTGTAATCTCCTCTCACAGCCTTTCAGAGGGCCTCCTGCCTCCCCGTGCTCATGTCCTTGTGTAATCCCCTCCCCTTCAGTGCGAGCTGGATACCGTGA